GTGAAGTGATGATTAAACGCCCCAAAGTTCACCCCAAATTGGAAAGGCCCATTTGTAATTAAGAAAGTTTACCTTAGTGGATACTACAAGCTTGTAGAGCCCTCTGGCCTTGTATTGCATGACCCAATTAATGGTTAGTGGCTAAAAAAGTTCTTTATTTAAGAAAAAAAAAGGAAGAAAGTAGCATAAGATCATAAAAATAAAACGATTAGAAAGAAGGGCAAACCCCCTAGAAGACTTGGACCTCACCTTGCAAAACGACCAATTCGTCCTCTACCTCCGCCCCTTGGAGAACCCTCTTCATCCCGAAGACTATAAAGCTATTGACATTTCATGCTAAGTGTAGTCAACGCCCCCCTCCTAAACATCATGATTATGATGCTGAAAGGACACCAAGCGAAGAAGAAAAACTCAGAACCAAGGTGTGGCTACCCGACCCAGAGGGGGGACAGAATGTGGATTGGAATTTGGAGTCGTCACCTAAATTTTTAAGAAATGGGAATTTAGGAAAACCCGAGATTTTTGAAGAAAAATATTTTTATTTTCTTGGTGACTCATTGCTCAATGGAATTAGAGATTCTTAGGGTCCGGGGACCAATGTACGGTATGGGAAGTTGTTAGGCACCCCACACACGCCTGGTTAAACCGACCTCTACTTCACCAATGTTCCAAGAAAAATTTAAATTTCTTTGGGCTTAAGAGAGAACTAATGAAAACACACAAAATCAAGAGCAATAATATGGTCAATTAATAAACAAATATCAAGCAAAAAACTATATAAGTAGCTAATAAGATACTATCAAAATGTATTTGATAATTTTAGCTAAGCTACAACTTCGATTCAATGTAGATGAGTAATCTCTTTTCATGATGAAATGTGGATGAGAAATCTCTTTTACATGAAAGGATAACAAAAAGGAAAAGACAAAAAATAATAAAATCCACTATGCAACTCCAAATATGATGCTAAGGAGGATGAAATTGATCTAATGTAAGTTCTACCTACGACAATAATTCTAGAGGGAACATGAGATTTGAGTGACATGAAATGCCATGAATTAAAACCTTGAGTCATGCGTGAGACTACTCTAAAATTGGAAAACTAAAAAAACAGAAGGAGAATACTAAAACTGCATTGGAAAACTTTTGTTTTTTAAAGATAAAGGCGGTTATACTAATGACTGATGGAAGACTAAATGGCCCATCATACCAATGTAAATGGATGGGTTTTTGCACATGTTAAGGATGCCACGATAATAATAATAAGGGAAAATTTCAGATTAGTACCTTGTACTTTGGTTGTAGTGCCATTTGGTCCCCGAACTTTAAAATACGATAATTCAATACTTGAACTTTTATAATGTGTCAATCCAATACCTACTGTTAACCAACTACTAACCAGCCGTTAAGTGGCATTTGAAAAAGACAAAAAGGCCCTTCAAGTGTCATCTAATTTACTTTATCACCATTCAAACGTTGACAAAAATTAATAATCCCAAATCCCTGCTTCTATTCAAGAAAATTTGGGTCATGTCTTAGTGGGCACTTTGGACCACATCTTGAATAAAAGAGGCAAGGATTTAGGACCTGTTAATTTTTTGTCAAGAAAATTAGATGACACTCGAAGGGCACTTGTGTCTTTTTCAAATGACATATAACAGCTGATTAATGGTAGGTACTAGATTAGCAAAATTTGAATGTTTGAGTACTGAATTGTCGCATTTTAAAGTTCGGGGACCAAAGTGGAACTATGGCTGCAGGGTTCTAATCAGGAATTTCCCTAATAATAAAAAAAGAACGGATACATTACTGCAAAGAGAATTAAATTTCTTGATGAATCGGGTCAATATACAAATCAGTCAAAACTAAATCACTCATGCTTTAATGTGAAATGATGTCATGAACTCACGATGCAAGAAACTACATGGGAAATAAATGATGTTTGATTACACTACAATGAAGGTCTATGAAAAATGATCCTACAAGGTTGACCGACTTGATGAAGATTCAATGATGATTAAAATAGCACTTAGGGGTGGACACGAGCCAAGCCGAGCCGAATAATTGAGCATTCGAGCACGGTTTGGTAGAAAACTGTAAGGCTTGAGCTCGATTCGAATCAGAAATGGAGGCTCGAGTTCGGCTCGAGTACAGAATGTATGTGTTTGAGCTCGATTCGGCTCGAGTACACAATTCAAAGTTAACAGCCATTAACTGTTAACTACTTTTTAAACAGTCATAATGTTTGAAATTGTGACTGTTCAATGTGCCTTCTCTAAACCAGCACCTACCTTTTCTTCATACCTCTTCATAAACTATTTAAGAAGCATGAATCAGACTCAAAAACACACAATTTTGAAATTCACTCTCTCTCTCTCAGTCCGGTCTGCTACAATCTCACAGAAAGTTTCTTTGGAGATTTTTCAACTTTGCTGGTTGCAAATTCTCGCCCAAGGCTCTATTGTATCCTGGGAACGGATTTGCCTGTAACCCAACAGCAAACTCAATGAAACTGAGTAGGGGCAAATAACGTTTTCTAAAGACAGTGTCTTTAGACGCGCCTCAGAACTTCTCCTCCAAAGTTACAGTGATTCCATTCTCCAACAATCATGGCTGAGTTAGAGAGAAGAATACTCAAAGAAGGTAAATTTTGAAAAAGTTCCAAATGAGTTAAAAAAAAAAAAAACTTCTCTTGGGGAAATTTCTGTAGATAATAAGCATATATGTTGATGCTTTTATATTTACACAAATAACCAACCACTGGTAAAAGAGTAAAAGCAAAACCAAAAGAATATTAGATAAGTCCTTGACTGTAACAAAGATAAGTAAGTCCTTGAGTTTCACATCAGTCCTTCCAATTACAAGGGAACGAGTCATAAATGGAAAGAACTTCAAATTACATCAGCCCTGTAGTAATAGTATTATCAAGAAATTTGGTTTCAGATGGATGCCAAACCACTGGACCATCACCTAGGTTCTAACATTAAGAACAATATCTGGCTCATAATGTGGTTGAACAGATCATAAAAGATTAATGCCATGGAAGCTCGTCCTTTATGTGGATAGTTGTGTTTGACCCTCAGGTTAGAAATTGTTGGATGGAAACTTTATCTTCATTCATCACGAAAAAGAAGACACTCCCATCGAAAAAACAGAACTGTAAGCCCATGTACAAATACAGGTATGGATCCCATAACTACCCAACAATTTCCTTTCATCCTTTTTAGTTTCACCGTGTGTGTATTGTTTTCAAGTAAGAACTGAGTAGTTTCATACACACACACACGTGCATGCATGTATGTGTCCATGAGAGGAAGAATAAGAAATGGTTTAAAAGATTAAAAAAAAATAAGATACTAATGCACACCCAGCAAAAAGAACCTTGCAAATTAACTTGTTAGGAAAACACAAACCTCTGATGATAAATTGATGATTCCTGTGCTTTCCCATGAGCAGCCTTCATATGCATGTTATGCAGCTGTCCTTTCACTAGAGCCTTGTTGCCGTGCTTGTTATATACGGCATCCTTCATTAGGATAAAAATAATGCATTGAGAGGCCAGGATATTAATGATGAAGAGAATGTAAAGAGTAATCTCAAATCAGCAAATGGTACTTTTGAAATTGCACTTCAGAAGCTACTGCATACAGCATTAAAAGCAGTAAGCATCATCCCTATCCTCAACAATTGGTCAAAAAGATGTCCACCCTGCATGTATTGAACCAAATGATGGCAATAGGGCTGCCAACAAGACTAAAACAGTGCTACTGCAGCATATCACTGGATGGTTTTCCTCTGCTCCATGTTCAAAGCTTGAATGATTGGCTTCCCCAGACAGACATTTCAGGTAGGAGTTTCCTCCATTGATAAAAATCTAGGGCTCCCAATGGATCAGATTTAATCCAAGTTGAATTTGAACAAGATTCATTTAATTTGGAATAAGATATCCATTTAACCATGATTGGGTCAAATTAGATTTGAGAGTCTGGTCTGTTTACTAATTAGATCGAATTCAGGTATCATTAGATCAGATCCACTAAGATCCAATCCAATATATGACCCATTTTAGAACATTAATTTTAACTTCTTTGGGATTAAGTGGGAATGTGGGATTTGAGATTTATATGAATATATTTTTATCTATTTACAACAGTTATTTTGTATTTTGCAGCAGAAAAGCACTCGTTTTATATTTAACTGTGGCATTGCACTAGTTTTATAGAGATTTGTTGAGCTTCAAATGATCAATGGACCTTATTTTAATAGAAAGGGTCTAGGTCAGCACCAAACCATAGTTTTCTTGTTCTTTTTTGCAATAAAGATAAATAAAAATCCTTGAACAAAAATTCTTTTCTACAATAAAGATAAACATAGTTTTCCTGTCCCATACTCTAATTGTCCAAATAAATAGGAAAAGCTGAACCATAATTAAAAAATAGAATCCAACTCAAAAATACCTGGTTCACAATCTTTGTCATCTTGTTCAAATGGTGGTTCATGCAAATTTGAAGGGTCCCTTCCATAGGCAACTCCCTCTCTCTCTCTCTTCTAGAGGGGTTCCAATCTGAAAACAATAAAAAAGATTAGAAACAAAAAAAAAAAATACTTGAATATAGGATAGATGAATCGAGAATTACCTGCTTTTCTAAGCTTCTCAACTTATGCAAGCGTGAAGCATTCAACAATTTCAGCAAATAACTTAAGAACATCTAATTGCCAAATCAACAAAACTAAGAAAATCTAATTCAAAAAGAATGCCAACTAAATTTTGAACTACTAGAAAAGGGGTTAACAAACCATCAAATAAGTTTAATAGTTAAAAAAGGTAATAAGTTCAATAGTTTGATCCACTCAAAAATCCATAAAACAACTCAAAAAATCCACAACCTAAATATTCTAATATTTGAAACCACAACAAATGATCAACATGGCCACAACTCCTTGGCATCCAAACAATCTATCCAAAGCTCGAAGCATCATTAAGAAATGGGTAGAAGTATCTAAATTGGCTTTTTATCCACCTACAAACATGCAAAAGGACCAAAATTAAATCATTGATAAACAAATCAAAGCATAAAGTAATAGAGTACCACTAAGCAATAATGAATAGAAGATAGTGTAATATACCTTCTGTTTTTTCTTCACACCATGAAGCACACGAATCCAATCCCCTCCACAAATCAGAGCTTCAACGGTTTCTAGAGCTAAAGATGCACGATCGGGATCAATTACCCTACCACTAGCACTAAATGTAGATTCTGAAGCTATTGTGGATATTGGAATGGCAAGAATCTCAGCTGCCATCTTTGACAACACACGATATTTCAAATTATTAACCTTCCACCATTCCAAAGCATTGAACTCATAATGTGACTTTTCATCCTCACAAATATATACAACCTCCTCAAGGTACATATCCAACTCTGATTTTAGTGGTGGAATGGTCTCAACTCTCTTCACATAATTTATCAACTTTGACCATCCTGAGCTTGTTGATAATTGAGAATTAGAACTAAAATTTGAAAAAGATCTTTTGCTACCTTTCCCTTGAGTGGATGATTGCTCACTACTAGCATTATAAGCAGCTACATACTCATCATAAAGTTGGTACAAAGCTCCTTGAACTTGCTCAATGTTATTTATAGCTTCAGCTTCTGAATAGATTTCTAGAAAATACATCTCAACCAGCCTTAGTTTAGTTTGCACCTCGGATCCAAGATGGAAGCCACAACCATTAATAGATCACATTCACTCCAATACTTATCAAACTTCCCCTTCATCTTTTTAACCATCCTTCTAATGAAATCATTTTCATCCATTGCCTTCAAGTTCAAAATTTCTTTCACCCTATATATGTCACTCTGGTAGTGAGTACAAATTAGAAGTAGGGTACTCACTACCAGAAATAATGTTCGTGACTACATTAAAAACTTCAAGTACCTCACATACCTTTTCCACCATTTCCCATTCTTCAGGAGTTGGCAAGTAGTCATAGTTTTGTTCCCTTTCTTGAAATCTTTGGAAACACATTTTTGAATTTTAAAGCACATGACAACATCTCAAATTTTGAATTCCAATGAGTAGGACAATCAATAACCAACTTCTTTGTACCAAGTTGTAATTGTTGTACAATTTCAGAAAATGTTTGTTTCCTAGCCTCAAATTGGTTAATGTATTTGACACTCTCACGATCATTTTCTATGATGTGACCAATTTCACCAAGACCATCTTGAACCAACAAATTCAGAATATGTGCACAACATCGAACACAAAACAATTTTCCATCACAAAGCAACCTCTTATTCCTAGAAAAGATCTCTCTCAAAAACCTCAAACAATAATCATTATATGATGCATTATCCATAGAAACTGTAAACACCTTGTTCTCGTGTCCCCACTCCTTTAAACATTTATAAATGGCATCTACAATATCAACCCCACGACGAGGTGGAGAAGCATGCACAAAATTGAGAACACGCTTCTGAAACCTCCAATTAGCATCTACAAAGTGACCAGTTATCACCATATACTCTATCCTTTGGTTTTGTGACTTCCAAAGGTCAGTAGTGATGCTAATATAAAAGATTTTTCAGTTTCTTCTTTTGATCATCATACATAGCTACACAATCATTCTTTATTGTCTTTCGAGAGATCTTCTCAAAAGCAGGGTTACACATCTTCATCATGAAATTAAAACCTTCCTCTTCCACTATAGTAAATGGATGCTCATGCATAAGCACCCAATGAGCAATTGCTTCCCTCATTTGGAATGGTCATACTTTGAAACAATAGAAGGATCTAAAAGAGGAGGGCCTACAATGTCTACACCAACATTGGAATCCACAGGTTGGAAATTCAAGGTCATTTGTTGCTTTCGTTGCTTTTCAACTTTCTGAGCCACTTTTCTTGGTATACATGTTTTTAAATGTCGGGCCACGTGACTTGTTGCCCCAATAGATTGTATAGATAATTTACTCTTGCAGTGGATATACTGCACCTTCTTTGTTCCATCAACAAGTTCAACCTCTTTGAACTCCTTCCATACATTTGAAGTTTTTTATCTTTTTGATTTTTGTATTGGACCATCTTCTTCAATAGGGTTCTGAGATTCGATCTGAGCACCATCTATGGTAGAAGGAGTGTCAATGGGATTGCTTGCATTATTTGTTGTTTGACTTGTCTCATTTGGAGATGAGTCATCAGCAATGTAAACCATGATTATAGGGGAAGGACCAGACACAGAATGAGAGGGTGAGGGTCCTATTGAGGTTGAGGAAACATTGTGATCATGGATAGGGGATGATGGCATTCCTGCACAACAAGATACCTTGTGATCAATTTTGTTTAAATTAATAAGTGGAGCGGGTTTGGACTATGTTGTTTAATATTTATGAAAGAGAGTGAAGACTTAAGAGTAAGAAAAGAAAAGAGTAGGGCAATATTGGAGGATGCACTAGGTTTCTAATGGAGTCAGAACCACTAGATTTCTCTAAGAGTTGGCACCTTCTTAAGTTTGGAGTCAACACCATAAATATTAGTAGAAAAATTCTTTTTTCATTCATTTATTCATTCTTTTTTTTTAATTTATAAGTATTCATTAATTTATTAATTCATTAAAATATGTTTATATAGGTTTATGTAGAGGATGGAAAATATCATATACTTACATAATTGTATTGCACTACACCTATTCATTAACCTCTTGTATCAGTTGTATGAGTCTATGAAGTTCATTGGGTCTTGGTGTCTTACAAACTAGGAGATAGTAGCCTAGTAGGCATGTTGAATGGCAGAACTTTTTTTTTAATAATAGGGTTAAAAATGAATCTCTTCATACCTAGGAAGTCAAACCATGGTCTTAGACTCTTAGACTCTTAGTCTTTAATAATAAATTAATAACTAACCAATATGTTAGCACCAATCCAATGCATAAGTGTTATCTGATGTGGTGTGATAAGATAATTCCTCAAAAATTTATATTGATAAATCCCAAAGGTTTCTAGTATAAATAGCAATGATACCAAACAAAACCATAATATTCCATATATGTGGTCTACAAAACTTTATAAGTCCGGCTGAAATAATTACTCTGTTAATATACTTCCTAAAGTCTTAATGAAAAAAAAAAGCATTTGCTAATTCCCCTGTTGATGAAGAGTATCACTATAAAATAATAAACAAGCTCTGTTAATGAAAAATAAGCATTTGCTAATTCGAAATCTCAGAAAACTATAAAAACTAAAACTAGAAAAACTAAAAAAACCTTAACCCAAAACGGAATGAAAAGAACTAAAGAAGATGAAAGCAAACCTAATCTGTCCTTGCCTTTGTATCGACTGACTGTGAATCTGTGAGTGTTGCGAGAGGCTGGAGAAATGGAGAGGCTACGGCCTACGGCTAAGAGTCTACGACCTACGGGCTATGGTTGTGACCTGTGACTTGCGAGTCTGGAGTCTCTGGATTGCGATTGTGAGCTTCAATTGAGAGCTAAGAGGAGAGGAGAGATGAGAGAACAGTGAGGGCAGAGAGGAGAGGAGAGATGAGAGGAAAAGGTGTGGTGGTGATGAGTCTGGTGACTAGTGAGAGGCTGGAGCTTGAGTACTTGACCGCCTGAGAGCTTGAGGAGACTCAGAGTATATATGAAATATAAATTATATATAATTATATATATATAAGCTCCTTAGGCTCGTGAGCCTAAAGAGCCGAACTTCAAAATACTCAGGCTCAGCTCGATATAAATATGGTATAAAGCTTAAATTCGGCTCGAAGCTCGATTTGAACCAAGTCGAGCCAAGCATGAATGGCTTGTGAAAAGTTCGACTCATATCCACTTCTAGTACTATGCAAATTGATGGTTGGGATGTAATGAATTACAAAGCCAATCCTAGTAAATTAATAAAAAGAAAATTAAGAAAGGACAGATGGGAATTATCAATGAAAAATAATAAAAAAACAAAAGGAACACATTAGCTTGACTAAAATTAGAAGAAAAACTAGAAAACATCATGCATGATTGTTCATGAAAAAAAACAGTACTACTTATATGGTGACATGGATGATCCTATAACCAATCGAAAATATCTACTTGAAGTGTTAAAAAGAATGGAGGGTAGTGAATATACCTATTAATGCAATCGGACATATAGGAGGGTGAATTGAATGTCTTTCTCCTTTGCAACAGTACTCGATTTGCTTACCATAAGCTTCTTAAATTCCCTTCGGTGATAAACTCATTCTCAATGATCTTGCTCGCTTAAAGATTAATCTACGAAGGTTTTCCAATCATTCTTGAACCGTTCTTGGGTGTGATATGTGGCCCATGTGTTGGAAAACATGCTGGATGATGATAGCTTTTTTGTTGCATTGTTGTTGCTTCAAGAGTGTTTCAACTTTTCTTCTTGATAAAAGCATGACCCAAGGAGGTTTTTTGGCTTCAAAATGATATTTGGGGACTCTAGGGATGTTGGAGAGGGAGTGGGCAGGGTTTTGGGACATGAAGGGGGGGTATTCTCTAGGCTAATGGGGGGTAGAATTCTTTCTCTAAGCTAGATTGTGTGTTTGTGTGTGAGGAAGGGAGGGTATTTATGGATTATTGGGGAGGATTCTAGAAGGGAACAGAGGGCTAAGATTGGGAGACTAGGGAGATTAATAGCTGACGTTTAAAAGTTTTTTTAGAGGGAAATTGATTGAGGGAAGGGGCTGTCAAGACAACTTTGGAAGAGATCTTCTCAATCAATCAAAATAATAACTAGAAAAATTTCACCAATTTACTTAAGTTGGACATTCCAAGTTTTGAATGTCCAAGTATACATTTGTAGTTAAGTTCTTAAGTCTTGAAAATTACCACATTGACCCCTTCATGCAAAGTGAAAAGTCAAATCAGTCATTTTGAACAACAATGTTCGGACCTGGTTGGGTAACCATACGAGTCACTATCTCAACCAACGACCATCCTATGGGATTTATTCAAGTGTTATTCTCTAATTGGGAAACTTCTCAAAACTCAGTTTCTTGCTTTAAAACTATTTTAAGTTAGTTTCTAGCATTTAATCACTTGGGTATGTTGGGAATTACCAAATCAATTAGGACACTACAGGACAAACCCTATAAACTTTCTTGAGAGCCCTAGTGCCACAAGGACTCTTCCCATATTTATCCTAGAGGAATTCGAGAATCGTATGGTAGAGTCCTAATGCAACAAAGATTTCTCCCCAGGAATCCCAATTCAACTAGGATTCTCCAATATTCCTCTTGGTGCTACCCATGGATTTATATAGGTATGTTGGTGTTGTTGGGATTCCTTTTCCACAGTCGTAGTCCGACTAGGAATCTTGACTAGAGTCCTAATTTAAGCTAACTACTTAGTAGTGACACCCTCCTCTTGTTTGAGGGTGCAGATTCCTTAATGGACATTCACAAAATCATAGAACCATTCATAGACACCCAACATAGGGAGTCTCATAGCTGCAGGTTATGAACAACCATTCAAAATGGTTGGTCACAATTAAACATCCTTGTGGTTATGAACAGCCATTCATGCAATTGACAATGGCAGATAAATCCTTTAATGAATCAATCTCTAAGTTGGATCATATCAGTGTGTACCCCAAACACACCTACATGGTAGTTGGAAGTCCTACTTCAATAGTTGAGATCTCACCACTCCACCCAGATCTCTTATGATGTTTTAGGTATATAAGGAATTAAGCTACTCAGATCTCTTATGATAGAAATCATCTACTAATTGGATGCCCTAAAATATTGCCTATGGATAGAATAGTCATAATGAAAATAATTCCATTTCCAATAGATTTTCCCTCATCGAATGTACCCTACCTTTACCGGCCAACTCATCTCTCTCCTTCACTTATTAGGTCAATATAGCCATGATTGCAACTTTTTTTTATCAGCTGGCTTCCAAATATATTGTGTGGTGGCACGCCTTCATTTGAAAAATTATTTTTTGTCATGCTATCCTTTCTTAAGGCCATACAACAAGACCAAATTCAGTTTACAATCTTTGATGTATATCTTCTTGGGGTACAGCAATGCACACAATGGTTACCACTATTATCATTCGGTTATTGTGAGTACATCTATGCCCTAGAATTCTTGTTAATGATACTACTGCACCATCTCACACTTTAACTGGCGTAACTATTCGGTCACCACTGGTACAACCCCATTGATTACTCCATCTAGGGGTGTTCACTATACGGTTTAAACCGTAAAGCCAAACTGAACCACATCAAATTGATAGATTTCTAAAATGGTTGAAACCCCATTGGTTACTCCATTTGCAGTTTGATTTATTGGATTTTGTAAACCGAACCAAACCATAAACCATAAACCACATTTTTATATATATATATATATATAACGTAAATGTATAAAGATTTTATAATATAATATATCTAAATTGGATGTATAAAATTATAAATATTTAATGGACTCTTTATTTTATAATAAAATAATAAAATAAAAGTTTTAAGTTTTAATTTTAAGGGAGTTATTTGGGCTTTCCAATTCAGTTAAGTCTAATAGAATCATAGAATGGTTCAGAGTCCCCAAATCGTATTAGAAACCGTACCAAACCATAATAAATGATTTGGTCTGGTTTAATTTCCATACCAAAATAGTTTGGTTCAATTTAAAAATTTCTCAAACCATAATTTACTAATTTGGTCTAAGATCTTCTCCAAACTGCACCAATGGGATCGTGAACACCCCTAACTCCATCTTTTTCATCATATACAATGATGGGTGGTCCTTCAGGTGATATTATCAGCCTTGCCCATGACTGTTCCTCTTCATCACAAGGCTCAGTTACGCCAATTTTTGTGCCACACCCACCAGCTCTAACTACTTTAGTTAATAATGGCACCACCCATACAATTGAACTTGCACCAAGGGGTACTCAACTCATTCAGGATCTGTTGGATTACGCTCCGTTGATTGTAAATCATATGCAATCACACCAACACACTATGATAACATGTTCTACGAGTGGGATGACGTTACCTTCTCATGCTCATTTATCAGTAAAACATCCAACACTATGATAACACGTTCCATGGATGGGACGACATTACCTTCTCATGCCCATTTATCAGTGAAATATCTAATTTCTTAAGCACTCTTTCGTACATCTTCAAGATAATATTACAAAACCTTCGAGTTAGGATATAACCTCCAAAGATCCTCATTGGCGACTTGGCGTCAACCAACCACCCAAGAATTCCAAGTGCTAGTTAAAAATGATAATTGGTGCTTAGGTGACGTTTGATAACACTTTTTAGACCTTTGAAGTTTGAAAACATTGTTTTTTAGACACTAGAGGTGTTTGGAGTGTATCTGAATTTGGGTCTGAAATGAATTTTCAGATATGAACTAATAACACCCAGGCCAGGTACTAAGCGCAGTCAGATGCATTTCAGACCTGGCCAAAAGTCCAAAATACCCTTAATGATCTGAACTGAAGACAAGTGTTTCCCCCTCCTATAGTTCATCTTCTCCACTTGACGCAGCGGCAAACCAGCGGTGGCAAGTGACTCCGGCCTTCTCTCTCCCTTTCTCTTCTTTCTTTCTTTCTTTCTTTCTTCTTCTTCTTCTTCTTCTTCCTCTCTGGTCGTCCTGCAGCTTTTGCCTTCCTCTGTTTTTCATTTTCGACCGCCGTTGCAACTCTCAATAGTGGCAATCTATTTTCTCCTCTCGTTGTCGTGAACCTAGATTTGAACACTAAAGGACCTGTTATTGAGGATCATTTTGCTAGATTTATGTCTGGAAGTGGAGGACTGATTTCCTAGAATATATTATTTGTATTAATTATTAAATATTTTAATTTGTATTAATTATTTCATATTTTATTTTTATTAATAATTAACTATTTTATTACTTTTTCATCGAAACTTATTCATATTTTTCAATATTATTTTGATTTTAATAAATTATTTTTAATTTTATTATAATTTTTACTAAATAGTCTGTTATAGGGGTAAAATAGTAAAATTAGGAAATTTCAGATGCTGAAGGTTTGGTCCAATACAAACGAATTTATCTATTTAGAGCCTCTAAAAAGTAAAAAAGCATCTATGCTTCTTTATAGATTTCAGACACAAATAATATATTTTTAACTTTTTAGATTTCAGATTTATCAATTGCCACCTTAGTTCCTCATGAACCTAATATGCATGTCAATGGTGCAAAGTAGATCTACAAAGTTAAAAATATAGTAGATGGGTTAATAAATCGTTTCAAGGCCCGCTTGGTAGCACAAGGTTTCACCCAAGTTCTAGTCATGATTTCAATGGCACGCCCAGTGATAAAACTTATCACTATATGTGCTATCGTTACTCTTGCAGCATCCAATAGTTGGCCTCTTTGCTAATTAGATTTCGACAATGTCTTTCTTAATTAATGGCTTTATTGATGAAGATATATATGTAACACAACCCAAGTGTTTTGAGCACCCTCAATTCCCACACATGTTTGTAAGCTATGCAAGGGTTTATGTGGGCTTCATTAGGCCCCCTAATGGTTAATTTGTTTGCCTTAGTTCTCAGCTACTGTCCATGGGTTCCGGTTCTTCTCCCGTGGTGATATGCACATTTACATGCTTATTTATGTCGGTGACATCCTTGGTTACTGGCTCATCTCCTATAACTATTACTCATCTAATCTCCTATCTCTCCAAAACCTTTTCATTGAAAGATATGGATCAGGTCCATCTTCTTAGGAATGGAATTTATTTCATGCCCAACTGGTTCTTACTCTCTCAGTACTAGTGTATACTTGACTTGCTGTAGTGGGCTAACATGTTACATGATAAACCACTCTCCACATCCATGGCAAGAAGAAATTACCTGTAATCCTAGTTGCAGAACAAATCAACGACCCCTAGTGGAATATGAGCATGTCACTGGGGGATATGATATTGACCTTGGCTGGAATATGATTGCTTGGAGTGCAAAGAAGTAGAGATTGGTGCAACCTCCCCTCATTCTTTGTGATAATTTTGGTGCAACCTTTCTAGTGTTTGATCATCCCATGTTCCATGCATGCATGAACCTTCCATGTTGAAATTGAGTTTCATTTTCTACGTGACCTCAGCCTCTATGGAAAGTGGCAATAAATTCAGTTTTGTTTCCTCTAGTGATCAAGTTATAGACATATTTACTAAACTGATGAATGGAGATTGTTTTTACCTTCTCAAATCAAAGCTTCATGTTCAATATAGACATTTCACCTGAGGGGGCACATTTAGCTTGGATTTGGTAGGTACAACGTTGTAAGCACATTGAATAAGCACTTGAAAATTTTTTTGACACATGTCCCTTAAAATACCCTCGCTTGAAAAAGATTAAAACCCACTTTTGACATTTGTCAAAATACTTATCAAGTGCTCATTTAACGTGTTTCCTTATGTTGTGCCTACTAGATCTGGTCCCACATTAGAACATGTTCCCATATTGGACTCATTGTTGTGTAAATAGTTATCTCATTATCTCTAGCCCAAAGAGGTTGTATTTGACTGGGAATGCATATTATCTTCTTGAGTTGTATACTATTAACTAAAACTCTCATAATACTTATAAATACATAATAGTGGTCATATGGATGATCTTCTATCAAACCACCACATTCTTCAATCTATTTCTTTTCTATTATTATTTTTTTTTTGCCTTTCTAACTGATGTAGAGATGCTTGGCGGGTTTCAGATCACGCCATATGGCATCAGTCAAATCAAATCCTAGCTGCACATCACCAACTGTTTCCAACCACTGCTAAGGCAAGGTTAGATACAAAAGGGGGCACTCACCTCAAGGTAAGGACACACAATCTATAATCACAAGAACTGCTCTTGGCTATTAAGGACTAAGTTTTGAGATCTCGTCTCTTGCCTGGTCTGACCCCTATTAAGCACCCGACTAATTTGTCCGTCAGAGTCTCCACCCTTAGGATTACACCCAGGGTCTTTGATGTCTTCTCTTGTTTACAAATCGAACCTATCGGCCTCAAGTACTAGTAAAATCACCTTATTGCCCTCAGCCTCATATTTGGCAGCAACACTAACTATCACGAAGAAATGAACTTTAGAATCTAGACCACCTCTTGTTTTATTGCTCAATCGTACAACCTGTTTGGTTTGCCTCTCCCATGGGCTTGAAGATCTCCCTCACCTGTTGTGTTTGATAATATAGCCTTCTCTCTCACCCAAGTCCTCGGCTCTATATAGACTAACATGGTTGACTTATTTCAGGTTAAGTGATGCCCGAGAAATAATTGTATACCTTTCACTTTTTATTATTAATATGTATTATACCTTATCTTTTTTTAAAAAGAAAAAGAAAAAAAAATTGAAGTGATCTCCTCAGAATCGGTCCATGAGTCATTGGTTTTACAAGAGATGTACGTTTGAAAGACTTTTGCTTTTTTTATTGTTCAAAAATTAAAAGATGTACGTTTGAAATATGTTTGATTTGATATAAAATAAGAGACAAACAGAAAAATGAGGGAAAATTGTTAAGGCATTACTTGGTTGCAGTGCAAATTCATTTGCACAAATACAAAATTAGGGTAGTGCAAATGATTTGGTTTCTTTGATTGCATTAAAAATAAAGTAAAATAAGACCTAGTGCAAAATTTATATATTTTTTTTTTCATTTGCACTCCCATACATTTGTGCTAGTGCAAATAAAATTGCACTGCAACCAAACACAGCATAAGGAATTTCATGGCATATATGGAATAACGGAATCGCCCCAAGTAACAATAGTTCATATCATCATTGTCCTTTCTTTGCGACAAACTCCGCTTCTAAATTACTACTGACACAGGAATAATTCAGTGCACTTTAACATATTACAATAATAATTTGTCCCCTTATATTATATCAAGGCTCAAGCCCATTTGGCCATCAGAGACATGCCACCACAACCCAAGAGTACAGCGATGTAGGATTTGATCTGGAGTTTAATACTACGTTGCAACCTGGGGCCCATGAAATCCGCAGACAGGAGGTCCACCAAAGCCATATAGATCAAAAGCCCTGCAGATGAAGCATTCAGTAGTCCTATTGTGATCAACGAGCTTGAGCTATTCTCCTCATATGTTCTTGATAAGGCCATCCCAAGGACAATTCCAAATGGGGTTGTGACAGAGAAGAAGAAAGCCATTAGAGCTTTCTTTAGAAACTTGTACTCTGCCTGAAATGACATTTAATTAACCAGATCATAAGAGTTTGCAAAGTCTGAAGGATTATTTCTTAGAGCTAGCACAAGAATTTGTATACAAGTCATGGTGGGTCTGAGAGTCTGACTGTATATATATATATATATATACCTGGAGGATGCAACCACCAAGTCCCATTCCTTCAAACATTTGATGGAAGCAAAGTGCAGCTACCAGAGGCTTTATTGTACAAGTGTTGTCTGAGGCTCCTAGTGAAAGCCCAATCACAACTGAATGAACAATAATACCCAGCTCCAAAACCTGCCAACAAATCACAATTCATTCTAATTCAAATTCATGTATATGTAGTGTTTGTGTGTATGCGTAAGAGAGAGAAAGAGAGAGTTTGAATCTATGTGCTCTTTATGTTCACAGAAATCAAGCTAACCATGGCAATAACACGATAGCGCAATAGTTGGGAGTCTCCACTGGTGGTGGTATCCATTGGGGCATGACAGTGTCCATGAAAGTGTATCCCAGAGCTTATTACAACACCCATTTCTCTATCCCTGCTATCCCCATCAGCAGCAGCTTCTATCTCTGTTGGCTTTACATCCACGTTGCTTCTATGGCTATATATGCTGGTGGAGATAGAGTCCACCATTAGAGCTACAACTGCAGATAACATTGCCAAGAAACCACTAAAGGGGAACTTATGCCATGGGTTTTCACGCAGGCAAGGAGATCTCAACATGTCAAAAGAATCAGGCAAGACGTGCATGAAACCTGTGGCGAGGATGATACCAGCTGCAAACGCCTTAACAATGACGAAAAGGTTTCTGTCAGGTTGCAGAGCTGGGACCGAGCGAGATAGCAGAGGCAAACAAACCCCAACCATGCTCGTCACAAGGATGGAGACAATGGCTATGATCTTGAGCGGCAAAGCTTTCGACTTGCTATTGCAGTTTCCTGATTCTGGCTGGCATTCTTCTACAACTGCTTGAGTGCTTCTGCTGTTCGATTGTGAGAGAACTCGGCCTGAGAAGATGGAGAAGAGGATGAGAAAGACGAAGATAGTTCTGAAGACTGAATTAGTTGCCATTGACTTGTTCACCCAGATTTGTGTGTTGAGCTTATTCCTTGCGAGACTGCTGGAGATAGAGATGCTCATTATAAAGAAGGTTTGTTACGTCATATGCTTATAAACAATGCAAGTGAATGAAGTGCAATATTGTTTTCTACTATTTCTTTACGTTCATGTCATGTTATCCCTTTGTTGTGTATGACACGTGGCAAGATGTTTGACACGTCTTCACCAAACTAAAGTGGCGTGGATTCAATGAAATAGCTTTGGCTCCTGCGTTAAATTTTAAATTAGAGGTAATTTAAAGCCACATCATCCAACGTTCAAAAATTTTTATAAAAATTTGGAGGCATGACCTTATTGTCCACCGTACAAATCAAGTACCTACAATTTAATCGGAGTAATTTTTCTTTTCTGAATTCAACCTTGCCCTGTGGATGGCGTGTGCCTGGAATGGGAAACCACGTGCTTGGCATGTGTTTCCATCAATTTTATTATATTTTGTGGGTTTAATTTATTTTATTTTTTAACCGGGCTTGGCCGGCTGTAAACCATTTTGGTCGACCCAAGGTGAACAGTTCATTCATTCGGTTTTTGTTCGAATAAATGAATTTAGAAAGAATAAATATGTAATGGTTTCATCTTACTTATATTAAAACACGAATAAAATCATCAGTATTTTTATTAATTATTTCTAAGAAACAAACAACCAAATATTGTTTTGCACTCCCCTTACGTGACTCCACATGCTTTAGAGTCTTAATTTATTGTTTGGACTTTGGAGTCCCAAAACCAATTATATTGATTCCTCAACTTATGGTTCATGAATAGATTGGAATTTGGTGGGTAATTGAATACGAATTTTTTGATTAATAAATTAAATTTTATTTTTATTGTTATCAACATGACCAAACTATCCTTATCCTCAAAATCTATAATTTTTTTTGGGTAGTTATTATTTAATCTGATAGAAAGAACAAGCAAATGCATGTTTGTCTCATAAATGATTTGATTTAGAGGCACCTCTACCGATACCTATCCACATCACATATTACAGCCACACATCGAGAACATTTCATCCTTTTACAGATGTCATTATGTACGGGGAGATATTCCCAATTTATGGAGGTAGTGTTTTATAGGTAGGCATGAATAGAGTTGTTGTGGGTAGGAAATCCAGAGTCTTATCAATGGGTTGAGCAAATCCAAACTTAACTGATCCAATTATAAAGGTTTCAATTATAATACCGAAAAGCACGATATCTGAAAAACTTGTGACCACTCAACCGGTATCACGAATATGGTAACCAGTGTGGTATTTATCAAAATTCATAGGTGAGTTTTGATTGGTCAAAGCTCTTCTGGTACAATGTCTCTTCCACATCATAGATAGCGGTGGCAATTGGGCAGGTTGGATTGGGTTGAGCTTCAACCCAATCCATTTAACCCGCCAACTCATTAATGACCCAGTTATATAAAATTAAATGGGTTGGGTTTAATCCAAACCCATCTTGACCCAATCCAACCCGCCCAAACCCATTAATTTTATATTTATGTACTTAAAACTAAAAACTAACTCACTTTCCCACTTGACAAATAAGTTCATCATAGCTTGGTAGTAATAATAGTTGTTATTTACACAAATGGTGAAGGTTCAAATCACATTACATGTATATTATTTTTAGGACAAGTGGTGAAGCCCCATTTGACTATGTTGGGGTTTCGGGTTTGATTGCACCACTTAGGTTCAAATCGGTAGACCAACTTGAACTATCTAACTGGACTTGTCTTCAAGCTAATCACATCAAGAGCGACTGAAATGTTTGGATTCAGATCAGTTCGGTCGGACCAGACCAGACCAGACCAGTTCAGTCAATGGCCATTTGACTTGGGCTGGCCCATATTGGATTGTGCACGGGTTTGGAACCAAACTGATTGGTCTGAAGTTGGTCAAGGGAAGCAGATCAGGCAAGCCAAGGTCAAAGCAAGCGGGTCATGTTTCTTTAGGTTGGGTTGGATCTAGGTCAAACCAATCCGTCTAGAACCACTCTGGAATTGGGTCGGCCCAGATTGCCCCAGTCTGGATCAGGTTGGGCTGACCAACCCAAACAAATTGAACCGAGGTGATTGAGTATGTTCATATTCAAACCGCGCTGAACTAATTTGGACTAGTCCGGACTAGGGTTGGGTTAACTTGGATTTATGTTGATTTGGGTGAAGTGTGTTGATTCGAGACAAACTAATTTTATTCAATAATTAATAGAAAATTTATGTATTAATTATAAATTATTACACTCAAATGAAGAAAATTAAAAAAAAAATTAAGGAATTCATATTTGTATCTTTAGTGGTTAACCCAATAATTATCCATAACCCAATCCAACCCAACCCATTTAAATTAACCCAATAAATGATTAACCCATTTCTAACCGGCCAAATAAATAAACGAATTGGATGGATTATATACTAGATGAATTGGGTGAATTCTATGGCCCTTTATTAAAATCTAAATGTATCAAAGGTTTATTGTCCAATAAAAGTTAAGTCGACACTGACCCATACCACAACACTAAATATATATAGATCAACCACAATCAATCAAATCTTGGATGAGCCGTGATCTTGAAATGCATAATTAAATGATCCTAATATGAACTGATAGTTGTTTCAGCTGGTTCTTCAGATCATTTAATTTTTATAACCTGCACCACCAGAATTAAGGGAAGTATCTACTTCATAATAATATAAATATACAGTTATTATATAATAGTAATAGATGTTGTAAGTTATTTCTTTTTTCCAGCAGAGAGGAGATTGCACTTATTTAATGCTCCTGAAGTCAAATGCCTTGGTTGAAAAAAGTGGCAATATCCCTTATTTTATTTATTATTTTTTTCTATCAATAACCTACTGTTGAGAGTCATAGAAATTCATGGTTGAAATCTATAAATTTATTTTTTTAATTAATCGTGGGAATAGGAGTCAAAGGCCTCAGGGGCCAATAGAGCGGATCAGATCAATATTGGCTTCTCGGTCAGATTACCAGGCACTCATTACCATTGGTTGTATGTAATCAATTAATTAATCAATCAATTTAAAAAATTAATTAGTACAAAAATTAAAAATTAAATAAATGAGAACTGAGGAGTTACTCCACTATTAAGATTGTGCATCATATTATTGTTTTTTTTCTACCTGAAATGTTTTAGATCGATAAATACAATCAATAATGAATTTGTTATATATTATGTTGATTAACCCAAAATATTTCAGGTAGAAACATCTGGTTAATGAGTAACAAAAAAATACTATCAAATACTCAAAGGGCTTTGAAAATATTAGGTTATGTTTGGTTTGATAGAAAATAAGAGAGAAAACCGTGGTTTTCAAAACCAGATCGGACTGGATGGTCGGACTGAAATTGATTCTGTTTCACCTTAAAATTACTTTTTGGTCAAAAACTGTTGATTTGGTCAATGAATCGCTGACTCGTGTGGTTGAATCATCAAACTCTTGATTATAATAATGGTTTTTGATCATTTTTTTTTAATCAGAACAGACTGTCCATTTGAATCAGAAAGTTGGACCGTTCAACCCGGGAACCAGTCCCAGAACGATTCCCTGTTCAATCCGGTTTTAAAAACCTTGAGAGAAACAGAAGGTTGACGAAAAGCTGTTGAATTAATTTTCACGAAAAACCAAAATAAATCTTTCAGAAAAGAAGAAAAAGTTCCAACTTTTGAGAAATTCTTTATTACCTTCCTTCGGCCCTTTGTTTCTCTGGTGTTTTATATCCAAAACTAATTAATACGGACTCAATAATATGATGGAGCTTGCACTTGGAAGAGAATTATATTGCAGGGCCATATATACCTAATCTCAAGCCCTATTGTCCATTATGGCACCGAATATTCTAATGAGTATTGAAGTCGAAGCATAGATTTTATCAAAGAATACATCTTATGAGTATGACTAATCAATTTTTTTTTTTTTTGATTTCCTACCAGCAGACAGTTGAGTGATGCCACATCGTTGAATTTATATATTTTTTCCAATAAATTAAATTGAGAAAGACATGGATATGTCACCACAAATAGAAGTCAGAACAAGTACTAATTCTATGGTAAAACTGTGAAAAATGAAAAATAGAGGTGGCAAGTGAGAGCATGAATCACCCATGTTACAAATAAACGTAATCAAAGGGATGACCTCATGGCAGCCATGTGTTATCGATTGAAAATTTTACATAAAAAAAAAACTTGGAAAAAGACTCAAATCATTAGAAATGGTATACATAGGCACATAGAAACACATACTTTAATATTTATGTGAAGTGTGAACTATCGATCAAACTTCATTATAAGAAACGAGGGGAAAGGATAGAAAGATTTAGGATCGTTTGGTTTGTAATTGGAATCTGAATTAAAATTCTTTGGAATCAGAATCAGAATCAAAGTTCAAAGTATCGACACATATTGATACGAAGATACATATCATTCCGGGACCCCTCCAATATGTCTCTATAATGGGTGTATCGGAGGTCTGACCTAGAGAAGACCTAAACCGACCCCCTGTACCAATTGTGAAAAAAAATAAAAAAAGGGCTCCAAAATGTGTATCGATTTGCCCGATACGCCCCTATCGGCGTATCGGGCGTATTGATATTTTGAACCTTGATCACAATGATCTATTCACATATTCTGTTTGGTTTAGATAGGAATGAGAATTGAAATCAGCAGAAATGAGACTTCATTCCCAAAGGAGGGGTAGCGAATAGTCATTCCCTCAAATGGAGGAATGCCATTCCAATAAGAATGGGAATGGGATTCCAATTCCACCCAACCAAATGGTTGGAACCGGATTAACTCATTCCAATTTTGATTCCAAACCCCTAATTCTGTGAACCAAACGAGGCCCTAATTTGTTTTTTTATACTAGTTCATATCATCACCATCATCCAAGCTTCACCCCAACTATATCGGTCAATTATATGCATCTGCCATTATTCTGTCTAATGTCATTGTTAAACAGTGTTGCCCTTAACGCCATTTAGATTAATGTACATAAACCACTATTAGTGAATGAGTAAAGTACATTATTGTTTCATGTTCTAATAGGTATGTTTTCTGTGAATTACTCCTTAAACTAAAAACTTATGAGATTTGTGTTAGTTTAGAATATTCCCAACCATTGGATAAACTTGAGAGGTTTATCTTGATAAGGCTAACATTAGTGTGTTGCCGAAATGGTGGAGCATTTTGTGTCAGCAACTAAGGTTAGACCCCAAGCACAATTAATGGGTGTTTAGAAGAAACACTAAACCTATACCAATTTCCAGTTATACCCTGGACCATAGAGATAGATGGGCAAAATTGGAAAATTGCACTTAACACCAAACTTGATTATGATACTACACTAGTTATTAGACTAAGTTGCTTTTGATATGCCAACCATTGAGTTCCATGAAGGGTCAAATACATGGGCATGTTAGGGCAGTTTGGGGAATTATTTAAGTAGGTGATCATAGTAATAAGATCTATCCCTTTGTCAGACAAAGTGAATATCAAGTTTTGCACTCTCTGTGATGGAAACCTAAACTACCGATAGTGGATTTTAATTGTATTTGAAATCTGATTTGCAAAATGTATTTATATGTTATATTAGTATATTGTAAAAAATATTTGCAAAATGTTTTAATCCTGAGACCCATACAAGTAGAAAATGTGACACTATATTATGCAATCAGAGAAGTGGTCCTTCCCTATGGGTATTCTGATGATTATGGGCCGAAAAGTTAGGTATAAGAGACCATTATAGGGCTGATTACCTAATGGGCTTCATATTACATAAGCCCATTAGCCTTGGGTCTTTATAGGGTGGTTGAATTCAATGATCATTTATGTATAAATGTTGGACCCGAACTAAGCCGAAATTGATTAGGTCAAGGGTTCACTGCCCTGAGTAGTTAATTCGGCCTAACCTCTTCCAAAAGTTGGGCTAAACCCTCAATACTTGTGTGAAACCATTGTAGGTCCCACACCATACAATATTTAGGCCCAAAGTGGCCATGCAAACACCTTGGGATGTGAACCATTAAAGAAAATGGGCCTAAGACTCGTTACTAATATGATTAATTAAGTGATCACATGACACTTGGGTTGAAAATAGGCATGGATCTAGGTATAGAGCACTTATCTTCTTAAGAAGATAATGCTTATCAATTAAAAATAAACTCATGATCCAAATTTGATTTGGATCTACTCCTAATTAGATTAGGAGCATGCTCTATATAATGGAGAAAGAGGGGAGAGTCCAATTCAACTAATTTTCTCCACTCTCTTGTTCTATTCTCTTCTCTCTTGCCTCCTCAAAACCCTAATTCGACCTAGCTATGATAGGGGCTGATTTCTACCAGTCCTCTACTGTGTTTTTGCAAGAAAAGCATGAGATCATATCAGGTTCATATACTCACTTCGAGCCAAGCAAGTTGGAGACTGATTTTTGCTGAAACGGTGTTGTTGAATCGGCTTCACATACACACTATACCATCATCAGTTGGAGGCCAATTTTGGGATTAATATTGGATGTGAACTACCACTTTGGGAGTTGTACATTGTGTTCTCCATATCAGGTATGGTTAGTTTTAATTAGGATGCAAATATGGTCCAATTCAGTGCAAGATCGATCCCAAAATTTTAGATTCTAAAATCACCGGGGTATTGGTTCCTGGGTTGGGTTAGAAAAATTTTAAAAATTCAACTAGTCACCAAACCTGGTTCAGCCATATCAAACCTGATTTCTAACCCTTCCAATAGTCATATCCACTATTAAACTATTAGCGCTAAAATCATTTCTTACTACTTTGACCTACGGATGTCAATTGGACTAGATTTGTTCCAGTCCAGTCCAAACCCCATACAAACCGGATCCAATCTAGTCCAAACTAAATGAAACTTTGAAATTTATTGAATATAAATCTTTTCACCTGCTTTGGTACAAAGCTGTTTCCCAACCCCAATTCTTCTGTCCTTGATGCCGCAAGCCCAGTTTACTATTCTTTGGTAAAGCATCATATGATTCAGGAAACTTACTGCTTCATTTAGATCCATTGGAAAGGAAACAGTTTGAGTCAACAAAATTCTGGTTCCTATCTTTTTTCTTGTTGCCTTGCCTGTATTTTTTTACAAGTATTGCCTTTAATGCATCCCACACATAAAAACTAGCAAAAAAAAAAATCCTGTAATGAAGGTTGTTTGCATATGAGCAGTTGGAATCTGAAATCTAGAGTTCATTCACTAGGTTAGCTTGGCATAAAAATGTTCAAAAATAGAATGCCAACCACATAATCTTGGCAGGAAACTTGGTGAGCTGAAAAAGAATTTGATGATTAGGAGCCAAGAAAAAGTATACTTCATTGAAATTTGTCCTACTAAAAACATATGGATTATATTGGAAGATAGAATAATACTTCTCTTTTTATTCATAGGAGCTATCACCCAAAATGTGAATTATCAGAGCGCTGAGGTTAGGACCAATTTGGATCCAAAGACATATCTTGGTGCTTCAATTCACCATGCTATCACTGCCTTGTATTGTTCATATATGATGTTCAACAAGGCCTTGTATTGTTCCACATATTGCATTAAGCTTTCAGTTTTCCTTGGAAGCAAGATAGCATAACTTTCTATGTGTATGATTTGATCGAAACCATCCCTACATCATACAATAGGCTATCACAGGCCAACGAATATTAATGATTTGAAAAAAAAAAAGAAGCGACATATATTGCATTTGTCAATTGACAGTAGTGAAGAATGAATTATACGGGATTTGTTTGTTCAAATAAATGGAAGGTTTAACTTGAGATAGGAAATGTATTAAAAATTATCACCATAAATTGAAGAACAACAAATAGTGAGACACTTAAAATAAGTCAAAAGAATCATAACCAAGCATAAGAGCAATACTAGAACAATGAGAAGGGAATGACTTAGTCAAGAATTGACTGGTCTCTTGAGTCATTTAAATAGAGAACTGGTTACAAGAGGATAACTATGTACAGAAAATAACAATTACAGAGTTAGAGTTTATCTAGGAAATTATCAGAGGATAAGCTACATGATAATGAGATAAGGTGATCAGTTATCTAGGATATCTATCAGAGATAACGATCCTAGTTACAAATCTATCATAACTATTGAGATACTCTAACATCCCCCCGCAAGCTTAGCGGTCTCTTGGAGACGGTAAGCTTGGCTGTAAGGTCATGAAACCTTGCTGATGGCAGAGGTTTTGTAAGAATGTCTGCAATCTAATCATGGTTGGGAATGTGATTAATTAGTAGAAGGCCGGCTGTAACTTTTTCTCGTATAAAGTGGCATCCAATTCTATGTGCTTGGTGTGAGAATAGTGGACAGGATTGGAGGAGAGAAACTTGGCACTCAAATTGTCGCACCAGATGACAAGTGGGCGAGGGAGCTTCAATCCAAGCTCCGTTAGTAACATCTGGAGCCAAAGAATTTCAGCAACAGTGGAGGCAAGACTACGGTATTCTGATTCTGTGCTGGAGTGAGAAACTATGGACTGCTTATAAGAGCACCATGAAATCAGATTACGACCCAGATAAACATAGAAACCCCCTTGGGAGCGATGATCAACAGGGTAACTAGCCCAATCAGCATCAGAAAAGGCTTCGAGAGCAAATTCTAGAGAAGAACGAAAAGTAATGACATGATCAATTGTGGACTTAAGATTATGGAGGATCCTCTTGACTGCACTCCAATGAACATCAGTGAGTGCTTTCATAAACTGGCAAACTTTGTTAACTGAGAAGCTGATGTCTGGCCAAGGGTAATATATTGTAGTGCCCCTACCACACTACGATATTCGGTGGCATCTGGAAGAGGAGAACCATGAGTGACATCAAGTCTGGTAGATGCCGCCATAGGTGTATGAATTGGTTTAGCTTCATGCATCTTGGTCTTGACAAGAAGATCATGAATATATTTACGTTGGCATAGGTGCACCCCATTTGAACTGCGATGTAGTTCCAAACCCAGGAAGTAATGAGCTTCCCCAAGATCTCGAAGAGCAAAAGTGGTAGAGAGCCGAGAGATGAATTGAGTAGGAGCAAAATTAGATGATCCAGTGATCAATAAGTCATCCACATATACAAGAAGAAATATGACATTAGTGCCGGTCCATCGCATGAATAGAGAACTATCTACTCGGGATTCCAAAAAACCAAGATGAACCAAATGATCCCTTAATCGAGTAAACCAAACACGTGGGGCTTGTTTCAAACCATAAAGGGAATGCTTAAGTCGACATACAAAATGTGGTCATGCTGGATCAACAAAACCCATGGGTTGTTTGATAAAAACTTCTTCACTGAGGTAGCCATGAAGGAAGGCATTGTTCACATCAAGTCGTCTAAGATTCTGACCATAGTGAACTGCGAGAGATATTATTAACCGAATAGTGGTTAGTTTAACAACTGGACTAAAGGTCTTAGCAAAATCAATATTGGCTTATTGAGTAAACCCTTAAGCCACCAATCACGCCTTGTATCTTTCAATGGATCCATCTGGACGTTTCTTAATCTTATAAACCCATCAATTTCCCACAATGTTTTTATGAGGAAGTGGAGGTACAAGATCCCATGTATCATTGTGTAACAGAGCCTTGTACTCATCCTCCATGGCGAGTACCCAACGGGGATCTTTCTTGGCAATAGTGTAGCAAGAGGGTTCAAGATCGGGGTCAACAGAGGTTTTCAAAACATACCTAGGGTTTGGTTTGCGAACACCACTCTTGCTCCGTGTCATCATGGGATGAGCATTAAGTGGGGTTGCAGTGGAACAAGAGGGTGTATTCGATGAGGTTGATGATGATGGGATCAATTCGACAGAACTAACACCAGTGGATATAATAGGTGGGCTAGGGGAGGTGGTGCCGGTGCATATGGGAATGGGTTCAAGAGAAGGGCACAGATATGTAACAATAGGAGGACCAACCACAGTGTTGGTAGCCAAGGTGGGAAGTGGAGGTGTGCTGCTAGAAGTGCATGGGAAAGTATGTTCATAAAAAACCATATTACGGGAAATATATAGATGACCAGCTGTTAAGTCCAAGCATTTGCACCCTTTGTGAGGTAAATTGTAACCCAGAAACAGACAACATTTGGAGTGATAGTCTAGCTTAGAGTGGTTATAGGGTCTGAGATGCGGATAGCAAGCACATCCGAAAGTGCGCAACATAGTGTAATTTGGTTTAGTGCCAAAGTGTCACTCTAAAGGAGAGTGCATGTCTAGTATTGGAGAAGAGAGCCGGTTAATTAAAAAAAACTACAGTCTCAAAAGCATCATACCAGTAATGTTTGGGCATTAAAGCCATAGCCAGGAGGGTGAGACCCATTTCAACAATATGGTGGTGGCATCGTTCTACAGCCCTATTTTGTTCATGAACATGAGGACATGAGAGACGATGAGTGATGCCCGAATTAGAGAGAATAGGGAGAAGTGGTTTGTATTCTATATCCACATTCTTCTTAAAAACAGTAAAGATAGAGACAACCTAAGTTTTAGAGGCCATAGGAAAAATCTATATATACTTGTTGTAAGCATCAATAAAAATCAAATAATAGTGAAAACCATGTCTTGTAGAGACAGGGGCTGGTCCCCAAACATCAAAAAATAAAAGTTCTAATGGATACTTCACAACAAAAGTACTATTAGAAAATGGCAAGGTATGACTCTTGCCTAGTGAACAAGATGGACAAAAAGAGATGTCCTTACTCGAAACTAGAAGCTGAAATGAAGATAAAATGTGGGCAGCTACTCGCTTGCTGGGATGTCCTAACCACTGATTCCATACGGAAACCGATACTTTCTCACTAATGAATGCCGATGGAGCTTTAGTTGTGCAATTTGTCTTTAGTTGATAGAGCCCTCCCTTAATCAACCATTGGAGGAGAATTTTCCCGGTCGCTTTGTCGTTAAAGAGAAGCCAATAGCGTAAAAAATAAAGGTTGCATTATTATCCTTACAAAACTGGTTGACAGAGAGTAAGTTCTTAGATATATTAGGAACTCTAAGAATATTATTCAGGACAATGGACCCAGAACCAGTATTCAAAACAGAAGAGCCAATATGAGATATGTCTAGACTTGTACCATTGCCGACTAGGATATGACCTGTTCCATGATACTCATCGTGAAGAGAGAGATTCCCAAGATCTGAAGTCATATGATTGGTTACTCCAGAATCAGGGTACCAATTATCATCACAGGTTGAACGTGAAGATGAGGCTGTATGAGCTTGCTTGGTATTCTTATTGGTAGTGAATTCCAGATAAAGGCAGCAAGTAGCTGCTGTATGGCCAGGATACCCACAAAGTTGGCAAACTACTGTGGCATTCTTGGAATTGGATTTGCTGCGATTATTGTTATTATAGGAAGTTTTCTTGGAATTGTCAGAACCACCATCATTATTAAATTGTCGAGGCTTATAAGAAGAGGATTGATTGCGATTGAAGTTTTTCTTCTTATTGGCCAAATTAGCAAAGGGAGAGTCCAGCACAAATTGTGAAGAGTGACACTCTAAGCGCTTTTCAAAAGTAAGTAACAGACTTTGAATTTCAGAAAAGGAAAGACTATCTAGTCTAGTAGTCACATAGAGCACAAAGGTATCATATTCAATAGGTAAACCACCAAGAAGATAATGAATTTGATCAACATTAGGGAGAAAGTGTCAAGAGGCAGCTAATGCATTAGATGAACTTTTAATTTTCTGAACATAATCAGTAATAGTGAGAGTACCCTTCTTCAGATTGGCTAACTATAATTTCAAATCATGGATTCGAGTCTGACTTGTAGAAGAAAAAAGAACATGAAGTCGATCCCATACCTCTTTGGACGTCTTACAGCCAACTACTTGAGACAAAACTGGCTCTGTTAATGAAGATAATAACTAGCTTATGATCACCTGGTCTTGTTCGATCCATGCTACATGATTCGGGTTGCTGCGGCTGGATCCTTGGCTACTTCCATCTTCCAAGAAGAGTGGAGGACAAGGAAAAGATCCATCCACATAGCCATATAAACGATGCCCTCTGAGAGTTGGTGTAGTTTGAGAGCTCCAAAGCAAGAAGTTAGTACGGTCCAGTTTTACTGAAACTACATTCATAAAACTGGAAAGGGAGACCACCATAATAGTTCGACCATCTGCCGATGCAGGTTGCATTTGTCTCTAGACGACAAGAGCAGTGGTGTTTGTCTCTGAAGCCATGACATTTGTCAAATGGTTTTGATACCATATAAGAGCAATACTATAACAATGAGAAGGGAATGACTCAGTCAAGAATTGACTGGTCTCTTGAGTCATTTAAATAGAGAACTGGTTACAAGAGGATAACTATGTACAAAAGATAACAATTATAGAGTTCGAGTTTATCTAGGAAATTATCAGAGGATAAGCTACATGATAATGAGATAAGGTGATCAGTTATCTAGAATAGCTAGCAGAGATAACGATCCTAGTTACGAATCTATCATAACTATTGAGATACTCTAACACCAAGGTAGGGAAAGTTTGGCATCTAAACTAACTCACATATTCACAATACAATAGTTTAATAAATCAAATTTAAACACGATTAAAACAAAATAAATTAGTTTGAGATACATAGAAACTTGATGAATTAAATATAGAAACTAATAAATTCATCAATGAGAAAGAAATGTTAGCTGCAATTAGAAAAGAATGGAAGCTGAAATACAAAGATGAAACCACATTTAAAGTAGAGATTGTGGATGAAACTCCTTCCCAACCAAGACAACTTTTGTCTTCAACAATCAAAACTATATGTCAACATCATCGTTTAGGTTGCAGTTGCCAGGGCAGCACACAATATCTTGATGATGGTAGAGTTGCAAAAATCTAAAGAAGCTAAGAGAGCAGGACCTCATTCTCCTCAAACTTTAGATATAGCTGTAGTATGCCCTCTGTCAGAAAGTTTCAATGCATCTCTTCCCTTGGTCTCAATGTCACTAGACTCACTACTACATTTTCTTTCATGCTGGGGATGGTTGAGAGGTGGGATGAGCAAAGGAGGGGATGTCAGGCCCAACCCAACAACCTTCAAGCATGAAGACAATGTCAGCCATGGAAGGCCAGTCAAGGGGGTCTCAACGTCACTAGACTCACTACTACATTTTACAATTATTGTTTCTCTACAAGTTTCTGCTTCAATTTTTGGTTAGAAGAGAACAAGTCAGTGTTGAACACTAGGGGTGGCAGGAAGACTGGAAGTTTGTATTGGAAAGAATACAAAGAGGCATGCCCCATGGATTGAAGAGGTTACTCTAGTCATGTATACTTACAATTAGTGTATGCCTTTACCCAGTCAAAGCTATGTGAAATGGTTGGATCTTATAAACTTCTGAAAAGTAATAGCAAAAAACAGAAACATGCATAATAGGAGCATACTTCTAAAAAAGATAGCTCATCACATTACCATGAACTATAAGAACACTATAAATCATAGTACCCAGTAAAATGATTTAATAGTCTAAAAAGTAGACTATTAAAGTAGTTATTTCTCTGTAAAACAAACCTCTTTTAAGAATTTCCATAGAAATAAGTGGATGGAATGATCATAAAGGAACTGTTCTGTTAGTCTTTAAGGAAGTTGAGCACAAAGATCAAAGTTATATCAAATGCTTTCCCATTGGCTGTTATCTGAAAGCACTCTGTCCTGAACTGCAGATGGAGATCCATAAGCATTGTCTTAGTCAACAGACAATGGGGGGAGGATCTTCAACTTCTTCGAGTGCAAATGTAAAGTTTCCAAACTCTCTTTGCAGTAAACTTCTCTAAGACATTTCTGAATTATATATTTTTTTATTGAGGAAAAACAAAGTAATGTTTTCATTAACTTATGAAAATGCCCTGTATAAGAAGAAACTATAAACAAAAAATATACTAAACAAAGCTGCCCCTGGCCCCCTACAGCCCTATGATCCCATACTATGAATCTTTACAAAAAGGTTGATGGACATCTGAGCATGGACAACCGGAAATTAATGCTAATTTGAGGATTTGAAGAAGTTTAAGAAGCTGAGCTCTTAAAGAATTTCTTTCTTCAACTGGACCTAAGAAACTGAGCAGCAAAAACCATTCATAATTTCTGAAGACACCTCATATCCCCT